TAATAGCCTCCCAGAAGCTGCCTGATTTCTTCTTTACTCTTTGCATTAGCCATGGAGCCGCTTTCAGGATGATCCAACAATACACAGAAAAACAATTTAAAAAGATAAAATTGTTTATGGAATTTGTTTGCAGGCAATACAGTATTGTCATTACAGTTATTAATTCTGAACAATCAATTACATGACTGAGAAGCTTCTAGAGAATACTGTAGTGCAAGATTAATACTAGTAATGGCAACTTCCACCCCCAAAGAGGCATAACTAGATCATATGTTTAAAAAACCCTATCAGCTGAATTGCAATGCCAGCAATCAGATCTCCTTATTTCATTCATTTCAGGAAAACCTACACTTACTAACCAATGAAAAGTATTTATAAACAAGTATGGTGGGTTTTTTTTTCTGTACTAGCTCAACAGGCATTTCCAAGTGCAGACACTCTAAAGTGCTCATGGCTGAGGGCTATATTAAAATACCACCAAATGCTACAACTGTGGACACCGCCATACAGCAAAGGCTAGTAAATTACATCTAGTACTAAGCCTAATAAATAAAACTCTTAATCATGACCAATAAACTGAGCCAGATTGGAAAACTGCCCTGACAGTCCAGACCTTCCATAAAAATAAAAATGGCTTTTTCCAATTTCAGATTGGGATTCTCTCATCATGTTAATTTTAGCATGTGGAAATGGAAGCTTGAAATGGTTGTGACATTATATACACCTACATTTACGAATATTTCACTGCAGAAACTGCAGGGGAATAAAATGTGTTTTGATATGTATAAACCATATGTCATCTGCTTACAGAGGGGCACCAAACAGGAACATTCCAAACCATCCCAAGCTGAGGTGAAAAAAAACAATGATTAATACAATTTAATAAATAAACTATCTTGTTAACAAATTGATATTTTTATTTAGTCATTATGTCGTGTCCGACTCTTCGTGACCCTATGAACTCTCATTAATTGATTATATAAATAAATCCAAATGTACCTTCACTGAATGTGAATTGTATCCTCTTACATCTGAGGGGATAAAAAATGCCAAATGAACAATAATAACAGAACATTACATTTATGAAATTATTTGCATGGTATATAAAGATGAAAGACATAAACTATGTATGCTATAATATTTATTTGACTGTACTAACCTCATCCCAGAAGGTCAAATTTAAAGGATGCATATTGGAAGGGAGTTGGTTTGGGTTTTTTGGACTCCCAACTCCCAGACCTCCCTAAAAATTCCTAAACAGAATTCTAGGAGTTCCAGCTCGCAGACCCATACCTACATTTCACTCACCTGGTCAAGGGCTTACCTCAAGGCTGCATGGCCTGCTCCGGCCTTACTTCCTATAATTAAAAAAATGCAAGCAAGAAAGCAAGCTGCCACAGTGCTTACTGGGAGTCATAATCTTGCTGCCTTTAGGCTCTACAGAGGGTGACTCCCAAAGAATTAGAGCACTCAGGAATAACCACAGCAGGTTGTTGTTGTTGTTTGTTGTTATTTTTAATTACCAACAGGCTGGAGAAGGGCATGCAGCCTTGGAATAGGTGCTTCTCCAGGTGAGCGAAATGTAGGTGTTTGAATTGTACATCCCTACCAATCTGTTCAAATCTAAAGAATCTCAGTAATAATTTTATTAAAGTTTAGTACTATCCCTGGGTAAATATGCTTAGGAATCAATATTCCAAGATAAGTGATAACATCTAGTCAGTAGCAGAACTGTCAGTAACAAATACTGTAATATATTTTGGCTGAAATCCTGTTGCTAAGCTCACTAAAACACAACTTGAATAGACCCACTGAAACAGGAAGATTCAACTCACCAAATCCCCACTGATTCAATGGGCCCACTCTAATTGCAACTTACTACATTAAGCAACAGTATTTTTAGCCATTGTCTCCAGTTGGAATTAGCTATGATTTTGCCCAGTTAACTGAATAATCAAACCCCCCAAGCAGAAATCCCTTAATTAATACTGTAATTGAAAGTTCAGAAAGAAGTAAAAGATACAGTGGTGCCTCGCTAGACAGTTACCCCGCATGACAGTTTTTTTTTTTTTGCTAGACATTGACTTTTTGCAATCACTCTAGCAATTCACAAAACAGTGATTCCTATGAGGGAGTTTCGCTGGACAATGTTTTGTCCCTGCTTCGCAAACTGATTTTCACTAGACGACGATTTTGACAGCTCCCTCCGTGCTCGCAAAACAGGTGTTTTCGAGACCTAAGCTTCACAAGACAGCGATTTAAACAGCTGATTGGCGGTTCGCAAAGCGGCTTTCCTATGGCCAATCTTCGCTAGACAATGATGATTCCTCCCCATTGGAACGCATTAAATAGGTTTAAATGTATTCCAATGGGGAAATGCTTTTTGCTAGACAATGATTTCGCTAAACAGCAATTTCAGTGGAACGGATTATCATCGTTTGGCGAGGCACCACTGTAATCTATATAAAGAGTTAATATTCTAAAGAACTGTGTACAAAGATATGAATATTAGTATTTTGTCTCATGTTACAGGCCCTACTTAAACAAAAGAGAAGAAAGAGGTTATTGATAGCATCACAATCTATAAACAACTGATTTGCAGTGTAGTCTGAATTTTTAATAGTGCAGTGCAATTTATTCTTGCTTGGGAGAAAGAAGTGTTTACTAGGCTAAGTCCTGCCTTTGTTAGATTTAATCTAAGAGGTTTAGGTTTTTCTCTTTTGGAAATCAGAAACTGGAACTTATCTCTTGTATTTACCTAGATAGCTATCATTCTAAATGTATATTTCTAGAGCTGTCTCACTTTTCTTGTTAATAACAGCCCCAAACAACCTAGACAAATAAGCATGTCCTCTTTTTGCCATCTCTCCACCTGCTGAACTCTAAAAGTTGCTTCTGCACAAAATTATCTTGGTATATTCTCGGTGATAAAGGACAAAAATGGGAGGGGCCTAGCAGAAGACATCAAGAAGAGGTGACAAGAATACACAGAGGAATTATATCAAAGATTTGGATACCCCGGACAACCCAGACAATGTAGTTGCTGACCTTGAGCCAAACATCCTGGAGAGTGAAGTCAAGTGGGCCTTAGAAAGCCTGGCTAACAACAAGGCCAGTGGAGGTGATGGTATTGCAGTTGAACTATTTAAAATCTTAAAAGATGATGCTGTTAAGGTGCTACATTCAATATGCCAGCAAGTTTGGAAAACTCAACAGTGGCCAGAGGACTGGAAAAGATCAGTCTACATCCCAATCATTTCAAACGCTAGCAAGGTTATGCTCAAAATCCTACAAGGTAGGCTTCAGCAGTATGTGGACCGAGGACTCCCAGAAGTACAAGCTGGATTCCTAAGGGGCAGAGGAACTAGAGACCAAATTGCTAACATGCGCTGGATTGTGGAGAAAGCCAGAGAGTTCCAGAAAAATATCTACTTCTGCTTCATTGACTATGCAAAAGCCTTTGACTGTGTGGACTACAGCAAACTATGGCAAGTCCTTAAAGAAATGGGCGTGCCTGACCACCTTATCTGTCTCCTGAGAAACCTATATGTGGGACAGGAAGCAACAGTTAGAACTGGATATGGAAAAACTGATTGGTTCAAAATAGGGAAAGGAGTACGACAAGGCTGTATATTGTCCCCCAGCTTATTTAACTTATATGCAGAATACATCATGCCGAAGGCTGGACTGGAGGAATCCCAAACCGGAATTAAGATTGCCTGAACAAATATCAACAACCTCTGATATGCAGATGATACCACTCTGATGGCAGAAAGTGAGGAGGAATTAAAGAACCTTGTAATGAGGGTGAAAGAGGAGAGTGCAAAAAACAGCCTGAAACTCAACATTAAAAAAAACTAAGATCATGGCCATTGGTCCCATCACTTTCTTGGGCTCCATGATCACTGCAGATGGAGACAGCAGCCACGAAATTCAAAGATGCCTGCTTCTTGGGAGGAAAGCGATGACAAACCTTGACAGCATCTTAAAAAGCAGAGACATCACCTTGCCAACAAAAGTCCAAATAGTCAAAGCTTTGGTTATTCCAGTAGTGATGTATGGAAGTGAGAGCTGGACCATAAAGAAAGCTAACCGTCGAAGAATTGATGCTT